TAGCCAAATATGACATATAATGCATATGTATGCATAAGTGTATATGCTCATGTGTGTATACATATGTGAATATCTATATTTATGTATAGGCCCCAGTTTCTCCAATCCAATCCAATAAACAATTCAAGTGCCTACTATGTGCCAGGTACTACTATGCTAAGTGCTGCGGATACAATTAATAAAAAAAAAGACAGTACCTGCTCTCAAGGAGCTTACAGTGTAATCAGGGGAGACAACACACAAAAGGGGCAGGAAAGGGGTGTGTGATCAAGACACCAGGGGGCATCTTGTTCTGTGGAGCTGAAACCAGGCAGAGCAGCAGATGAAAAGTGGAGTGAGCTGAGTCCAGTTCCTTTCCTCTATAAAGAATGGCACTGGCTTGGTAATTTTGGAATTTGGCTACTGTATTCCTTGGCATTTTCAATTTGGGATCTCTTTCAGGAGGTGATCGGTGGATTCTTTCCGTGACCATTTTATTCTCTGGTTCTAGGACCTCAGGGCAATTTTCCTCGATGATTTCTTGAAAGATACCGTCCAGGCTCTTTTTTTTCATCGTGATTTTCAGGTAGACCAATACTTTTTAAACTGTGTCTCCTGGATCGATTTTCCAGGTCAGTTGTTTTACCAATGAGATATTTTACATTTTCATCTATTTTTTCATTCTTTTGTTTTTGTTTGACTGATTCTTGCTCTCTCATAGAGTCATTAGCTTCCATTTGCTCAATTCTAATTTTTAACAAATTGTTTTCTCCTATTAGATTTTGTACTTCCTTCCCCATTTGGCCAATTGTATTTTTTAGGGATTTGTTTTCTTCAGTGTACTTTTCTTCCAGTTGGCCAATTGTAGTTTTTAATGACTTGTTTTCTACGGTTAATTTTTGTCCTTTTTCCAAGCTATTGACTCTCTCTTGCATACCTCTCATTTCTTCTTCCATTTTTTCTTCTACCTCTCTCATTTGACTTTTAAAATCCTTCTTGAGCTCTTCTAAGAAGGCCTTTTGGGCTTCAGATCAGTTCATATTCCCTTCTGAGGTTCCAGATGTGGGTTTGTTGACAATGTTGTCCTCTTCATAATTTCTGCCTTGATCTTCTCTCTTTCCATAATAAGAATCTATTGTATGTTTCTTTTTGCACATGGTGTTTGCTTATTTCCTGGCCTTTAAAGAGATTGGCCTCTCCTGCTGGGGAGCAGAGGGCACTGACCCAAGCTTCTTGTGTTGGGAGCCTAAGGCCTGGTCACTGGCAATATTGTAAGCAGCCAGCAAGAAATAATTTAAATATCATGGAACCAGAGTCAGGATTATACAGGACCTTGCAGCTTCTACATTAAAAGACTGTGTAGGGCATGGAATATGATATTCCATAAGGCAAAGGAGCTTGGATTACAACCGAGGATCAACTACCCAGCGAATCTTTCAAGGGAGGAGATGGATATTCAATGAAATAGGGGCCTTCCAAACCTTCCTGATAAAAAGACCAGAACTCAAAAGAAAACTTGGTCTTCAATTACAAGACTCAAGAGAGACATAAAAAGGTAAATGGGACAGAAAGAAACATGTTATTAATAAGGGCAAACTGTTTACATCCCTACAAGGGAAGATGACACTTGTAACCCTTGAGAGCTGTATTGTTATTATACCATGTTAAAGGGGTATACATAAAGGGGGTGGGTATAAGTTGACTTTATGTAATGATAAAAAAAAATCTATCAAGTGGGTTAAATGGATCCAATGTAAGTGGATTAATCTGATCTAACTAAGAAAATGTACTGAGAGAAAAGGAAAGGAGGCAGACAAGGGTAAATTACATTACAGGAAAAAGCACAAAAATCTATTACAGCGGAGGGAAAGAAGGGAGGGAGATGAGCATTGTTTGAACCTTACTCTCATCATATTTGGCTCAAGAAGGGAATAACATAATCAGTTAGGTACTAATGTTGATAGACTTAACCCTTCTCAGCAATACAAGGATCTAAGACATCTCCAAAGGCCTCATGATGGAAAATGCTATCCACATCCAAAGAAAAAAATATGGAGTCTGAATGAATATAGAAACATACTTTTCCTTTTCTTTTGTAGTTTTGTTTTATTGCTTCATTCTCATGGTTCCTCCCATTAGTTCTAATTGTTCTTTACATCATGACTAATGGGAAAAATGCTTAATATGAATGTATAAGGAGAGCCTATATCAGATTGAACACCATCTTGGGGAGAGAGGGGAAGAAAAATTTAAAACTCAAAAGCTTATGGAAGTGATTGTTGATAAATCAAAATAAATTAATTTAAAAAAAGTGAGCTGCATGTAATCAAGATTTATATAACCATATACAATCATATTTTCCTGATCTACTTTGTATATAGAAATGCTTGTTTGTTTTTTGTGTTTTAAGTGTAGAATAAAAATTAAATTAAATTAAAAAAGAAAAAGAATGGCATTGGGAGAAGTTTGATTCTGCACCTTCTAGCTCCAGGAGAGGAGGCGGAGGGAGGTGGTATCAATTGAGCTTTGAGTTAGCAGCTAGCAGGGAGATGAGATTACAAGTGATGAGCTTTTCCTGGGAGGGGCATCTTGTCCCCTGGGGGTAAAACCAGGCAGAGCAATAGATACAAAGTGAGTAAGTTCCTCTCTCCAGTCTCACATCACCAATTGCCTTTATACTATTTGGAACTGGATTTTCCATAGGTATCTAAGACTCAACATGTTCTGGACAGAATTTACTATCTCCCCTTCCCTTTATCCCACCCCACTTTTGAACTCCTCTGTTTTAGTCACTCAGCTTTACAACCCTGAGGTCATCCCAGAGTCCTCACTCCTCTACATAGGTAGCACAATGCATACAGTACTGGACTTGGAGTTAGGAGGACCTGATTTTGAATCTTGCCTCAGACACTGACTAGCTGTGTGATGCTGGACGAGTCACTACACTGCTTTGTGCCTCAATTTTCTCATCTGTAAAATGGGGATAATAATAGCATCTACCTCCCAAGGTGTTATGAGGATTAAAATGAGATATTTGTAAAGTGCTTTGCAAATTGTAAAGTGCTATGTAAATGCTATTATTATTATTATTACTATATCCAATCAGTTGTCAGATCTCATTGTTTCTTCCTCCATATCTCTCACATCTGTCCCCTTTTCTCTACTTACACAGCTATATACCATCCTAGTTCAAGGCTTTATCATCTCTTGTCTTCACTACTAAAGTAGCATTCTAATTGGTCTCATGCCCCAAGTCTCTCCTCGCTCCAGTCCATCCTCCAAAGAGATCCAAATATCTGCCAAAGTAATCTTCCTAAACCACAACTCTGACCTCTACTCAATGAACTCCAGTGGTTACCTATTACCTCCAGAATCAAATATGAAATGCTCTCTATGGCATTTAAAGCCCTATACAATCCCTACCTTTCCAGCCTTATTATACTATTTTTCATGAAATGTATGGTCCAATCAATCTGGCTTTCTTCCTGGCCCTCACCAAGAGCACCATATTTTTAGTCTCTATTGCAATGGATTTTTTTTTAATTAAAAAAAATTCTTATTTAGTATTTTCCCACAGTTACATGCAAAAACAATTTTTAACATTCGTTCTTAAAACTTTGAGTTCCAAATTCTTTGTTCCTCCCTTCCCACCCCTCTTCATTATGGCTGTTCTTCATGCCTGGAATGCACTCCCTCATTGCCTCTGACTCTTGGGATCTCTGGTTTCTTCTTTCTTTTTCAGTGAGGCAACTGGGGTTAAGTGACCTGCCCAGAGTCTCACAGCTAGTGAGTGTTATGTGTCTGAGGTCACATTTGAACTCAGGTCCTCCTGACTCCAGGGCCAGTGCTCTATCCACGGTGCTGACTCAGCTCATGTGCCACCTTCTAAACGATGCCTTTCCTGATCTCCCAACTGTATTCTCCTCCCCACTTCTTCTCTCATTACCTAACATCTATTCTGTATGTACCTATATATGTATAGGTAGGGTAGCCAGGTGACAAAGTACAAAGAGCACAGGGCTTGGAATCTTCCTGATCCATTTCCTGAGTTCAAATCTGGCTTTAGACACATACTAGCTGTGTGACCCTGGGCAAGTCACTTAACCCTGTTTGCCTCAGTTTCCTCATCTGTAAAAATGAGCTGGAGAAGGAAATGGCAAACCACTCCAGCATCTTTGCCACGAAAACTCCAAATGGGGTTATGATGAGTCAGACATGACTGAAATAACTGAACAAGGACAACAACAAAATTATGCATACCTGTGGTTCCCTCTGAGATGTAAGTTCAAGGGTAGGGACTGTTTTGCTCTGTTGTCATTGTATCCCCAGCACCTCCCACAGCCTAGTACATAGTAGGTGCTTCATAAATGCTTGGTGGAGTTTACCTCTAACCTTCTATAATTCCTCTTTGGGAATATTCTTCTGACAGGACTACCTGAGAAACAGGACAGATTCAAATCGATAATTGTGATGACGTTACTTTGTTCTTTCAAACCCTTCCATAGAACTCCAAGAGTATTCTTAACACTGTCTTATTAATGACTCATTCTCACCTATGTTCCTATGAATTGACGTGCAAGAAGGAGCTCCCATTGTACAGATCAGGAATCTTTGACACGTAGGAGGTATTGGCTTCTGGTCCAAAGCCTCCCGTGGCTCGCAGGGTACGGCCAAGACTAGACCCTGCCAGTCACGACAGCAAGGTGTCATGATGGGGCAGAAACTGAAAGCCTGCAGCTTGGATGGGACGTCATGGAGGCAGGCCTTGGTTGGGCAGCTTAAAAGATAAAGTTTGCCACCATGTCCTTTCCCCCTCCCCCTTTTACCATCCCCTTTCCCCCTTCCTCTCCCCCCCGCCCCCCCGCCTCCCCGCCTTGTCCCTCCTTTCCCCCCTCTCCTCTCATTTCCCCCTCCCCTCTCATTCCCCCCTCCCTCCTCTCCCCCTCCCGGAGCAGCTCGTGGCTCCGCCCCTTCATCAGACTCAGCTCGCGCTCCGTCCTCTCTCCCCACACCTCCGCCCGCCGCCACGCCCGTCCCGCTGCTGCCATGGTAACCATACGCGCACTTCACGGACTAACGGAATCGTCGTAATCGTTGGTACGGACCTGCGGCCCCCCACATCACCTGGACCAAGGCACATACTGTTCTCCGGGGCGCGACGTTTAGGTAAAGAGACTAGGGGAGTTTGAGGACTGCTGGGAAAGCGGGGGTGGGGTGAGGGTGGGGAGGAGAAGGTTGATCCCTCCCTCGCCTCATCATCGCCCAGGCCCGAACTCCGGGCCATAGTCCGAGGGTGCTGCGGGGTTCGGGGCTCGGCTTTGCAGGAGAGAGACAAGCGCGAAGGCCTCGCACTGCATCGTGGGAAATGTAGTTCGGCCTTTCTTCCGTCTCGCGCTCTTTTGCTGGGGGGCCTAAAGGCAGAGGACTACAAACCCCAGCGGGCGTGCCAGGGCGGGGGCAGCCGACGGGAGATGGCTATGTAGGGATAAGCATTCCCATTTTCTTTTTATCCATCTTCCTAGTGTCTATTTGGATGGTCATCTAATGCTTTAAAAAGGAAAGGTGGAAGTGGGACCTGGGTTGCTCCTTAACCCCTACTCCCTCATCCCTCCATCCTCCCATTCCACCGCAGTGGTTCTGCAGCCTCCCCTGGGCCACCGCCCTCCACACTACTAAATGAACCTTCTCCCTCCCCTCCCCCACGCCCCCAAGTGCACGCACTTGGGCCTGCCAAGAAGCAGTGACCCCTTTTTCTGTTTGCAGAGCCTTAGGTATGTCCGTTGTTGGAGGATAGAGGAAGACAGGATATATTCAAGGAGGCTTTTTCTGATATTGCAGCAGTTTAGTAGCTTACATTTGTTCTCAATTGCTTAAAGCTTTTCTAAGTATTGCTTTATAAGATTTAATAATAATCTGCTTAATAACCTGTGCCAGTCCCCGTGCCCAGACGTGGGAACAAAAGGAGAGACAAAAACAAGCAAAAAATAATAATAGCTTTTATATAGTGCCTACTATTCGCCAGACAATTTAAAAATATCATCTCATATCCCAACAACTCTGGGAGCTACATGCTGTTATCCTTATCTTACAGTTGAGGAAACTGAGGCACACAGAGGTTAAGTGGCTTGCCCAAGGTCACACACCTTTTAAGTGTGGATTTGAATCCTTGTCTCCCAGATTCTAGGCCCATCCATTCTACTGTGTCACTTAGCTGTTCACCAAAACATTTCCTAGCTCTCAGAGAGTTCAGTCTAAGACAACATGCAGACAACCACGTACAAACAAGATAATACGTACAATATAAATTGGAGGTAATGTACAGAAGGAAGATAAAAGCAGTAAGGAAGGTAGGGAAATTTCAGAGCTAGAAAGACTTTGTAGGTCATCTAGTCCAACCTCCTTCATTTAAAAGATAAGAAAACTTGGATCAGACAAATGACTTGTCAAGGTCACACAGCTAGTAGATGGCAGGTTTAGTACTAGACTTTGTCTTTCATGACTTCTTGTCCCATCCTCTTTCCACACTTAACTTTATTCCTACCAAAAATAATCATTGCTAGAGTAGGAAGGTTTGAGAGTTATTGAGTTTTCCAGGTGGTGGAATACACAAGAGATAGAATAGTCTGGTTATTAAACAGTGAATTGGTATTTTCCATCACTTTACATTAAATGAGATCACAGAGCCAGTTAGGGAGTCAGGAGAAATAACACAAAGCTATTCAGGGAATGTCTGAACCTATCACATGTTTTATCTGCTTCTGGAGCTCATATTGGTGGAGACTTAGGATTGGAAGTCAGGAGTCTAGATTACAGCCCTAACTCTTGGAACTAATAATAAAAATAACAGCAACACTGATAATTAGTAGTAGTAGCAGTAGTAGTTATTAGATAGTGCTTGACATTTGTAATATGTTTTAAATGCATGATTTCATTTGAGCTTCAAGAATCCTGTGACATAGGTTCTACAGATATTGTTAGCTCTATTTTACAGATAAGGAATAAATGAAAAAGCATTTATTAAGCTCTTACTATGTGCACTGTACTAAGTAAGTGCTGGAGATATAAAAGAAAGACAGCCCCTGCTCTCAAGGAGTTTACATTTCAATGGGGGAGACAACACTCAAAGGGGGAGTGGTGGTAAGTTAGAGGCATTTTGGTTTAGAAAGTTAATGGATGGTGATTGAGATCACAGGGGAGTACATCACAAAATCACAGAATTTTAGAGGGGATAAAGAACTCAAGAGGCCATCCAGGCCAACCCATACATTATAGGAATACTCCTCACTATGAAAATTGGACAAATTTTTTCCAGTCTCTGCTTTAAGATCTCTGAGGATGGCCCCCCTAGTCAGCCCATTCCACTTTGGGACAGCTTTATTAGGAAGCCTCAAATTCTTCTGTGCAACTTCCACTTGCTCCTGGTTCTGCCCTCTGGGGCCAAAAAGAACAATTACAGGTGCTCTTCCACATGACAGCCCTTCACATACTTGAGGAATTGTTGTAACTGCTCAAAGTGTTCTCCTCTCCCAGAGAAAAGTTCTTATTTCTTTCAACCAATGCTCATATGACATGGGCTCAAGACGTTTTACTCTCTTGGTTGCCTCCTCTGGACATTCTCTAGTTTGTAAATATTTTTCTTAAACTTTGGTGCCTAGAATGCAATATTCTAGATAAGCTACAGGACAGAGTAGATTACAGAGTACAATACAGGATAGATCTTTAAGCCTGGAGTCAGAAAGACCTGAGTTCAAGTGCTGTTTTAGATGCTTATTAGATATGTGGCCCATGGCAAGTTACTTAGTCTCTGTCTGCCTTGGCTTCCTCATCTGTGAAATGGAGATATTAATAGCACCTACCTCCCAGGGTTGTTGTCACATTATCAAATGAAATAATATTTATTAAGGGCTTAGCATAATAGTAGGTACTTAATAAATGCTTGTTCCCTTCCTTGACCTGCTCATTTCTGGAAGTTCTGCCTCTCTTTTTTTGGGTAGGCAATGGGGTTAAGTGACTTGCCCAGGCTTGCATGACTAGTAAGTGTTATGTGTCTGAGGCTGGATTTGAATTCAGGTCCTCCTGAATCCAGGGCTGGTGCTGCATCCACTGAGCCACCTAGCTGCCCCAAAGTTCTGCCTCTCTTAATGCAGCCAAAGATGTCATTAGCTTCTTTGGCTACCATATCACACTGCTGATTCATATTGAGTTTGTAGGCCACTAAACCCTCCATGTCTGTTGCAGAACTGTTGCTGCCTCCTGCATCTCATACTTGTCAGGCTGATTTTTTTTGTACCCAATTTCTTTCTTTTTTTTTATTAACTTATTTTGATTTATCAATAATCACTTCCATATGCTTTTGAGTTTAAAATTTTTCTCCCCCTTCCTCCCCACCACCCTCCCCAAGATGGTGTACAATCTGATATAGACTATACATTTACATTCATATTAAACATGTTTTCACATTAGTGGTGTTGTAAGTAAAAATTAAAACCAATAGGAGGAATTTTGTACCCAATTTCAAGACTTAGATTTACTTCTGTTGAATTTCATCTTGTTAGAGTCAACCTAATGCTCTAGTCTGTCAAGATACTTTTGGATGTGTTAGCTGTTCCTACTAGCTTTGTGTCATCTGCAAATTTGATGAACCATTATCCAAGTCATTGGTGAATTTAAATAGCACAGGGCCAAGTACTAATCTCTGGGGTACTCTCCTGGAGATCTCTTCCCATGTTGGTATCGAACACATCAATAGCTACTTTTTGAGTCTAGCCTTCTAACCAGCTCTGAGTCCATCTAATTGTATTATTATATTACTATTATATCTTGCTGTAGTCTAGTCTGCATCTCTCCATCTCCTCCATAACAATAGTGTATGAAATACTTTATCAAAAACTTTGCTAAAATCTAAGTAAAATCTATTTACAGTATTTTTCTTCTGTATTAGTTAGTAATCCTGTCAAAAAAGGATATTAGATTAGCCTGGCCTGATGTGTCAGAGGCAGCTAGGTGGTGCAGTGAATAGAGCTCTGGACCTGGAGTCAGAAAGAGCTTAGGTCAAATCCGGCCTCAGACATTTATTAGCTGTGTGAGCCTGGGCAAGTCACTTAACCACTGTTTGCCTCAGTTTCCTCTTCTGTGAAATGGGGATAATAATAGCACCTAACTTCCGGGGTTGTTGTAAGGATAAAATGAGATAATAATTGTAAAGTGCTTAGTACAGTGCCTGGTACATAGTAGGCATGTTGTAAGTATTAGCTATTATTATTATTATTATTGTTACATATTCTTGGTGAAGCCATGCTGACTTTTTCTAGTCACTACTTCGCTTTGTACATGTTTGCCAGCCATTTCTTCAATGCAGGTGTTCTTAATATGGGGTCCTTAAACTTGGCTGGAAAAAAAATACATCTTTATTTTTACTCAGCTGAAATTTAGCATTTCCTTCAGGTAAGGTTAAAAAAATATATTCTGAGAAGGGTTTCGTTGGTTTTACCAGGCTGTCAAAGGGTCCGTGGATGACAAAAAAGGTTAAGAATCCCTGCTTTAATGATTGAAATACCCATCCAGTAACGATGGTAGAGTTGATTTGATCATGGTTCATGGTTCCAAAAAAGTGGAGTGAGGAGAGGGCAAGAGGAAAGGGTCCATGGAAGTGTCTAAGGCTTCTGGTGAGGCTGTGGAGGATGGGACCAGAGAGTAAGGAGTGAAGAGAATCAAGGTGTCTGGTGCTTTCCTTGAAGTATTCTCTCTATTCTCACATAGAGAGGGGACATGCACAGAGATTGTTGCTTTTGAACCCAAGACAGGTAGTGATAAGCTGATAGATACTCAGCTATTCTTGGTCCCTTAGAATAATGGAATCCTAGAGTTTAAAGTTACCATTACTCTCCTGCAGTACCCTGTCTGCTAGGGCACCCTGTTTGGGGATCATGTGTGTAAAAGATACATGTAAATATGTAGATTACTTTTTCTCCTTTATTGGGAACTCTTAGGTCTTATCATCAGGTCAGAATAGGAATTACAGTAAAAGTATGGATATGAAATTTAATTTCTAAATATTACACACTTTTTTGGACATAGTATCAGTTCAGTATTTTGAAACATATCATCTATTACTGAGTATACTAATGTCCATTCACATTTTGTTGAAATTTGCAGAATGTTAGCAT